AAGCTCATAGATATATTTCCATGGATAGACAAATACAGGTAGTCCTCAATTTATGACCACAATTGAGCTCAAAATTTCTGTTGCTAAGTGAGACAGTTGTTAAGTGAGTTTTGCCCATTTTGCGACTTTTCTTGTCATAGTTGTTAAGTGAATTACAGCACTTTTTAAGATAGTAACATGGTTGTTAACATGCTTCCCCACGGACTTTGCTTGTCAAAAAGTCTCAAATGGTGATCACATGACCTGGGACCCTATAAACTTCATAAATATGAGTCAATTGCCAAGCATGTGAATTTTGATCATGTGACCATGGGGATGCTGCAACAGTCATAAGTATGAAAAACAGTCATAAGTCATTTTTTCCATTGTTGTTGTAACTTTGAATGGTCACTAAGTGACCTGTTGTAAGTTGAGGACTACCTTTAAAAATTTGTGGCTGTAACATGTGGAAAGAACTCCCAGACTTGGTTCAACATTCAAGAGTTCTGGGCAAAGATGTTTGATTTTGCTGATTTCATGATGGTTCAAAGAATTATCAAATTGGAAGGGTTCATTTTTGCCATTAACCCCACGCTATCTGCTTAGTACTGCATAAGAATCCAGTTGAAAGAAGTCTATCTGTGTAATTGATTTTATTTGAAAGGCATCTTGATTGGCTCTTTAAACCAACAGACTATTGCCTCTTTCTGCAAACATATTTTACCAGCTTCCCACTAAGGGCCAGAAATAGATTGCCCATTAATATTCCTTATTCCTTTTAGGTGTCATGCATTCTAAGTCTTAAAATCACTAGAAGGATCCATCGAGACAGATTGGCAACTTTTACTTTTCTCCAGCTACCCCACTTAGTGATGATTAAGATCCATTTCAAGCAATATGGACTCTAATTTTCTAACTTTTATCACAGCATGAAATTGCTGTTTAGAGCTCCTTTCGTCCACTTCATCTTTATTTCATATAAGATAATAGAAAAGGCATCCCTGCTTGCTTTTAAGATCAAAGTGATTGTCAGGTTCATAAAAAGAGAGAAAGAGAGATCCTGCAAGAGAAAAATGAACTCTGGTATAGAGAAAAAAAATCAAGGTATATCACTCTTTCGTAGGCATCTTTGCTTTGTCCTCTGAAGAAGACTAAATTTCTTAGATTATGCATTTGAAAAGAAAATAAGACAGAAATCATTTCAATCCATTGTTAACTGTCCAGATACATCACCTTTAAATAGGAAAAACAGTATTTAAATACCTGCCATCTTTTATCCAAGTTAAGTGTGGAAGTGTTTTTACTCTTATTATTTGAAAATAATAAGATGGGCCACATAATGAATGACTTCAGTTTTTATTCTGCCAGTAATTGCCAGTTAAGAGGAAAGGTGGTATTACTAATTTCAGTATTCCATTTTTAAAATTTATTTTTCTAATAATTGAATTCTAAAGTGCAATTGTCCAACAAGAAATATTCATAAATTTGACCTGTAACTAGCAAAGGTTAGAACTTGATCTCATGTGGGTGAAAACAAAGCACTGCACAGTGCTTCCTCCCCCCCTTTCACTTCTTTTCTATCTCTCACATTTTATCAAGTCCTACAAGTCTATTTCTCACTGCAATCCACATGGGGAATTTTCTGGAATGGTGAAAGATGCATAGATGGAGAACCAGTCCCCCTTTCCTGTGTGCACAAATGCACTTCCTGGTTCAGACTGTCACTTGGGAATCTACTTATGGATTTCCTATCCTATAATAGGATGCTTCCCAAGAGTACAAATGTTATTGTAACTATCCTATTCCAGGTAAGGCTTGGCAAATGAAAACATCAAAGCAGACTTTTTAACTATAGATATGGGTTTTATATGATTTCCTGTTTTTTTTTTTTTAATAAACTGCCTAGAATCACCAAAAAGGGTGCTTGGAATTAGGGAGACACATCAATGTATAACCAGCAAGTCGATCAAGAGCCAAAGTCAAATTAGTCAAAGGCCTACTCAAGAGTTTCAGAGTTATATCCAGGCACAAAGAATCATGAGATTAGAGCAGAGGTCCCCAACCTTTTGGGCACCAGGAACTGGTTCTGTGAAGAGAGGTTTTTCTGTGGACCTGAGGGGGTGTGGTTTTGTGTGATGCCTGCCTCCCACGGATGGAGCTTTGCTTGTTTGTGCGGACTGGTTGCTGGCATGCCGTGACCTGGTACCGGTCCATGGACCGGGGGTTGGGGACCCTTGGATTAGAGAATTCAGTCAGACCAAGGTTCACTGCAGAAGGATAGCTACACTGAAGCCTACAGCTTTGTTGCATGAACCACTGAATGTCTCCTCAGCTCCTGCAGGAATAAACCAATAAATGAATGAATCTCTGCTGAGACACATTAAACTGTTTTGGCTGTAAACTCACCAGGAGGAACCAAAGTATTCATTCATAAAGTGCTCTCTCTCCTATAACTGAGCACTCTAGCACCTCTTCACCTTCCAGTCACTGTCAGTACTGCTTTTCCTATAAACTGGGTGATCTTTACAGGTGAAATTTAATCAAAAAGCCAGATAGGGGACATCCCTTCTAGTGAGGATTGATTCTGTTTTTTTTTCTGTGCTTATATATTATAGCAGCAGATTGTTGACCTGTCATTTTCCCCAGAAGAGCCTTCTTCAGTAAGGACCTCAATGTTTGGCTAGTATCTTGGAGGTTCTCACTATTCTGTGATTTCTTACCCTGGAATGGTTATTTAGAACTGACTTCTTCTAAACCAAGAGTTCGTTCAAGATAACCAGCTAATTTTCACTGCATTCTTGAGCTGAATTCTCCAATCTGACAAGGAATGTCATGTTGAGGAGTAGGTACTTTGGTTTACTCTGGTTCACCTCTGTCTAGTGATCTAGCTGGAGCCACTAGCAGTTTAACATATTGTATAGCCTAAATCTACAGCATAATGCCAGTTTGTTCCAGATAATTTAGCAAGCTCCTCTGAATATGCATTGGATACCTCCTGCTTTCTCTGAAAAATGGTCTGTCAAACTCTAAACATATGTATATGAGGTTGCAGTCTACATTTAATACACTATTTCAAGCCTTTATACTCTGTTCGGAGTTGAAAGGGGGGAAAAAACTCCAGCTGGAATCAGATCCTGCTCCTACAATTCATCTATGCAATTCTGGGGCATAATGAAAAATGTCATTTTTAAACTGTTGAAAAACCATAATAAAAGATAGGAAATTAGACCCATAGTTCTATCATAGATATCTGCAGGATATGGTTAAAAAAATCAAGATGGCAATCACAATGATGTGATCAAAATGCGACAATTTTTAATGTTTGCTGCACATAAAAACAGGCGAAACTTCATTCCCCATGGATGTCTACTCTTTTTAATACTTTGCAGACACCTCAAAGTGCTATGCTGTAGCACAATCCCAATGATAGTCTTTGTCAGCCAATATGTTAAAGAATATATTTCTGTTTGCAGCTAGAATAGATGTTAAGGTAATATTCTTACTGATGTAAATACCGGTATTCAATAAACCATACGTATGAGAAAGATCAATTATTTCTACCAGCATCTTTCTATACCCGAATTAAGTGCTATGAGATGATATTTCCCTAGCAGAAAATATAAATGAAATAATTATAGGAATAACAGTTTGGTAAAGAGTTAGATAAAACAATGCCTATGTATGTGTGAATGTGAATAAAGATAGTCCTCGACTTATGAGCACAACTAAGCTCAAAATTTCTGTTGCTAAGCAAGACATTTGTTAAGTGAGTTTGCCCCATATTATGAACTTTCTTGCCAAAATTGTTAAGTGAATCACTGCAGTTGTTAAATTGGTAAAACAATCGTTAAATGAATTTGGCTTCCTCATAGACTTTGATCATCAGAAGTTTGCAAAAGGGGTTTACATCATCCCAGCACATTGCAACCATCATAAATATGAGTCAGCTGCCAAGCATCTGAATTTTGATCATTTGACCATGGGGATGCTCTAATGGCTGTTAAATGTGAAAAATGGTCATAAGTCACTTTTTCAGTGCTGTTGTAACTTCAAATAGTCATTAAATGGACTGTTGTAAGTCGAGGACTACTTTTACACACATAAGCCAAGAATCAAAGGATTTGGCAAGAAGATGGTGTGGATTTATTCTTTATTGTCCCAGACTGGAATTAATAAATTGAAATTATAAGGGTGATGATTTACGGCAGATGGCAGGGAGAAACTATTCTATAAACTGTCAGTTAAACACCTCTATATTGCAACTTCACAAATATTGATTCTTTGCAGCTGGCATCCTGACTAATTTATGCACTGAGGAAAATTGTTTCGGGATATTTTTTTTAAATTAAATAGGTATAAAACATATTAGCATGCAGGAAATGCCTCTTGGAATAATTAGAACAACCACAGCTTTTGCAGGATCTGTATGGCTGTTTTGAAGATCATCTCCACAGTCTCCACATGTGTACATTCAGCTCCTTTGCTTTACTAGCAGTTCCATGGGTGGAGTTATAAGCACATGAACAGATAAACTGAAACAGCTTTTGAAGCAGATGCGTAAGTGCTGCACAAGACATGGCTGCTTTAATGACCGGAAAAGGAAGACATTTGCATCCCATCATTCCTCTGAAATGGGACTTTATCTTCACCATAACATTGTAAAATGGGGGAAGTGCTTATATGCTTTATTTATATGCTTATTTAAAGGACATTATCTCACTTTCCTGCTGTATTATGAGAAGCTCAAAGCAGCTTGGGAGAGTTCAACTTAAAAGCTTACTTAGAGTTTACTTACTTACAGTTTACTGGAGATTCAGACTGATGAACTTAATATTGTAACTACAGCAATGACTGCACTGAATTTCAGAATAGTGTCACCATCTCTCACACACTTTTAATTACTAAGTGCAGATAGAATGATATTATTTATATTCAAGTATCTAGGGTAATCAATGGATGGGCTTTTCTTAAAATAAATAAAATTATAGGCTAAGCAAAAAGCAAGAAAATTGGATGCTTACCTCTAGTCATTACAATTCCTGCAAGAGATCTGTGACATGCATGGAGGGCAGCAAAGTTATCCGTCACTTCCTGAAATTTCTCTGTAATTATTTGGTACACGGAATCAGCAAATTCCTGGAAAGATATAACCAGAAGCCATTCTCTTAACTTGGCATGACCAAAGCAGTGGATTGCATCTTCAAGTTTTCTCCTTTACTCATAACAGCTTGTGCCACTAACTACAAAGAATAATAAACCGTGCAGTTCTTCTCTTTGCATTCACATGGCCTGCAAATAGAAAACACCTTCAAGCTGAGGATTGTCCTGAAATAGAAAAGGCAGCCACTGCAACGTGGCTGGTAAGCTGCATTGCACTATTAACAGTCTTTCCTTAATCCTACTGACATTTTTCAGATTGTGATTGCCTATCAAATCATTGTCGGCCAATTCATTTCCTTTCATTTTACTTGCATTCTGGCCATGATTTGTTGTAACTCAGTGTTGGTTTGAGTTTGTTTTCACTACTTTAGATGTTACACACTGCATACACAAGCTATTTCTTCAGTACAGAATACAGCTAAATAAAGAGTCATTAACCGAGGTAGGTGGCTATGGAAATAGAACTAACAAACAAATAAAATAATATTTATCTAGCCATGGTTATTGCTTCTTTTTCATCAGATCTGTCGTTTATTTCATGGACCAAGAAAGATACCCCCCCCCAAAAGGCTGATCCTGAATTAAGGCTAAAATAAAGTAAAGATAGTCCTCGACTTACAACCACAATTGAGCCCAACATTTCTGTTGCTAAGTGAGACATTTGTTAAATGAATTATGCCCCGTTTTATGACCTTTCTTGCCACAATTATTAAATAGATATTAAGTTAGTGACACAGTCCTTAAGTGAATCTGGCTTTCCCATTGACTTTGCTTGTCAGATCACATGACTTTGAGACATTGCAACCATCATAACTATGAGTCAGTTGCCAGTTGCCAGTTTCAGTGCCATTGTAACTTTGAACAGTTACTAAATAAATGGTTGTAAGTTGAGGACTACCTGTAAAATAGCAAATGAAACCAACAGCATCCTTAATATGGCTAAAGGAGAGTCCTTGACGATCATCTAATCCCTGAGATTTTTGCATTTACAAATGATTACAAAACAGGGAAGCAGATGTTTGACGCCCACAGAAGTTAAAAACAACACATAGTTTTTTGATAATATATAAGCTATTAATTTTATAATAGCATATGATTTTTAAGCTGAAAAACATTTGCCCATTTTTAAGGGTAAAGTCTTGCCACCAACCCAATCCCTACTTCTCTAAGGAGTAATTCATTACTCAATTCAATGTACTGCACACTGTCTAGCGTGGTTCTAACTTCTAAATACTGACTGAGATCCTTCTGTGTTTCTGTTTTGATAAATTTATGATCTGACTGCTTACCACATGTCTAGTATGGTCTAACCTACTGGAATTGATCTATGTCTTCCTAGACCACACACTTAAATACTGAAGTTACTTCTGGACTGTGTAGAGGAGGGAAAAGGCACATATGCCGTGGCTTTGATCTGCCATGTAGGTGAGCAGATGCCATCTCCAACTTTTTAGCATCCCACTGCTTCTCCTAAGTTCCATAGATGTAAGATCTGGCCAATACTTGCCAGCAATTTGTGGAAGCAAGAGCCTGAGCAGAAAAAGAACAGAAGCCTATTTAAATGAAGACCTGCAAGTAAACACTCCATGCGTTGGAAGCACCTCGCCTTCTGCTCTAAGAAAAAGTAGCTAAATCAGAACACGTTTCCACTGAGTGCTTTGTCTCAAAAGATTTGTTCACATTCCGCATGCCATATGGTTTTAGAGCAGCTATAATAATAAGTGTTCATTAATTATTAAGCTTTGCTGTAAATAAATACAGAAAAGCTGTCTTGCTGTCACAGTATGAGGAACAAGCCGTGCTTGCACAGATGTAAGTCATGCATTCTTTTTCCTGTTGTCATCTCCCCGATTCTCCCTCCTTCTCCCCATGCCTTTTTAAAGTGAATCTAATCATCACCCAAGCAAGATATGATCTCTCCTTCCAGTGCATAGACAACAAAACACTCTTGTAAAGTTATTTGCCGTCAATTCTCCATGACTATAGCTGTCCATTATGGTTCTTAAATATGTCTCACTTCCAACACCTTTCAGCTGCTTGAAATATTTTGTTTTATAGACTTCAATAATCTATGAAAGAAGCCTATGGAAAAAGGGAAAGGAATCAACATACCTATGTATACTGGCAAAGGGACATGAGGATGCAATTAGGATACAATAATTGGGAAAAATCATGGCTCCAATACCTCCAGATTTACTCCACCTTCTCCTAAACACATTATGTTGATCAGTCAGGACAAACAACCCTTTGCTTTCATGGTGAGGCTTTGTAATGCTGAATAGGTTTACAACAAGACATGAATCAGACAAGATTTAATAATGAGCACGTTTTACTTAAGAGGCTGAAGAAGATGGAAGTTTTGTCCTGTCTGATTTTTAGTATGCTATCAAGATAAACTGGAGAGGCAACACAGAGAAACTGTTCAGTCTATAGGGATTTGAATCTATAACTTGTCCATCTGAATTATGATTCTGAGTGTAGGATGTGTTGGGTTTGAAGAATAAAGTAGGTGTATTGATCCATCCATAGCCAATAATTCTTGTAACTGTGTTTACAGAGATTATTTCAGTTATGGTGCTGGAGATGGGAAGAGGGAGTGTTCTGAGGAACTTCAATAGCCACAGAGAGATTGCTTTTACAGGATACCTTCAAAGCCTAACAACTGTCATGTACTGATGATTAATCCATATGGGAGGTTTTGTAATGGTCAATAACTATGACCTTCTCATCCACTCTCTTGTAATACAGTAGTCAATCTGCTATTTACCAAGAGATAAGCTTGTAGTAGCTGTTCTCGCCCACTCAGTGGTAGACCTATTGTATAGCCTGCCTCCAGAAGTTGATGTTATGAACTTAATGTCTAATTTCCAGTCTTGTCTAGAGAAAGCAGTTTTCACTTCCATGAGACATTCATTGGTTTCATTCAGATTTTATTGCTCTAGGAAACTTGACTGCCACTAAATGCAAAGGTAAATATACTGACAAGCGATCAAGCATTTTGTTATTGCTTATTTGGGCAGCTGTTCAATTTTTGGTAAATTTGAATTACAGGGTTTGGACTTTAAAGATTTCTATGGAGAATTTGTCTAAGAATCACCTGCAACAATACTATCTGCTAACTGAAATATTTAAGATAGATGGATATAATCAACAGTGGCACTGTGAAGATCCATCAATACAAAATAGATGGAGAGACACTTTCAGCCTTATATTAGGCTGTTCTGGGCCTCATTTTTGGACATGATCCACACAAACAATCTGTTATTCATTAATAACTTCTGCTGTTTATTAATTGCTGCTGATTTTTAAAAATTCCTACTGTTCAATGTCAAGGGATGTAACGTGTTTAATTATTTCATTTTAATTCTATCATTCTAACTTTGTGAAGTGCCTTGAAGGATAAGGAGAGAAAAATCTAGATTTACAGGGAAATTCTTTCTTAACATCAAACATGATGGACAGTCAGGCCCAAAGAAAATTAACCACTAACGGAAATTGTGATAGGTTCCTGCATAGAAAAAGGTGAGAATGATTCAACCCTATAAATCAATAAAAGAAAACGTATTCTTTTTTTTAAAAAAGATCAAATTATAACTTTAATTTTTTTCTAATCCCACTGTCTGATCCATTATTCTTTCTATAATGTCCTACTTATAAGCATCACATTTACAAAGAATTCATTAACTCAGAGGGACATATAGCTTCCGGAAGAATTGTTGTTAAAACATTAGAAAGAACAAATACATTTTAATACTGGAGTTGGATATTCCAGGAAACCCACTTTTCTTCACTGAATTTGGCAGCAAATTCCAAAGCAAATGAACACAAAGAGATCAAATCATGGCAAAATAGCCACTTGGCTTGAGAGAAAGATGATAAGAATTAGGCTGAGAAAAGATTGACTGAGAATTTTTAAAGATCAGTAAATTTCTTGCATGACAATCAGAATAAATAACCTATGTTTGTTAAAGAAAAAAAGAACACAATCTAAGAAGAAAACAAATTGATTTTTTTAGAGAATTGAAACATCACCACTTACTGCCCTCCTTTTATTTTTCCCAGAGAGTTTTTTTTATAAAGTCTATCACCATTTAAATCCTTTTTTCTGCATTGCCAAAAGAAAAGGCCAAAAATGTTTTCTTGCCTTAGCAAAATCTTTTTGATATTCTTAGATTCTGAAAGCATAGAGCAAGGCCAAGATAGCCAGAAAATGTCTTTATAGGAAGAATTTATGTTATCTTATAGACCAGCGTCTCCAACCTTTCCAGTTTTGCAGACCAGTGGATGATGGTGCAGCATGAGTGGCGGACAAGTGCACGCGAGCGCAGCTCCATTTGTGCAAGCATTGTGCATGCTTGCCATCCCACTGTGCATGTACTCACCCACTGCTTCTGCAATCCAATTCTGAACAGGCCATGGCCATGTAGTGGGTTATGACCTGGAGGTGGGACCTCTGTTGTAGGTGGCCAGAGCTAGCATTTGGGGATGTTTTATTTAGGTTTTATGATTAATTCTTAATTCTTCAGTTTTCATGGATCTCCCAGAGAAACTCTACAGTCATTGTTCAGCAATCTTGATCTAAATGTGCTCTAAGGGCTGCAGAATATTGGAATATGTTGTTGGTTTCCTTGAACTAGTAATACAACAATAGCGAATTTGATAACTAATGATTTTCTGACCTTTTCTGACACCCCAAGTAGGCTTTCTGATCGGGTTTGACTCTGGCTTAACTGTCTTATAAATGCTTTATCCTTTTATTTTGTTCTATAAAGAAAGCTCTATTTGTTGATTATTTTGATAGCTGAGAATCTCTCTTGCGAATGTGACTGTTTCTGAATCTGTGTTTCTGAATGTTGCTTGATAGGCAGCAGTTGGAGAAGTCCATTGACTTATTGTTCACCCAACTATTAATTTATTTTGTTTGTTTGTATCCATCCTTTTCACAAATAACCCAAGACAGCAAACATATCCGACAT